CACTCAAGTAATTCATTTCTTCTATAGCCTTTGAATACCCAAATGAGGATCCCGCCACTGTAGCTACCAGGTGAAGAAATGCCCTTGAACACCAATGACCTAAAATCACACGAACCCTAAAGGTTTTCCAGCAGAGACACAAGCTCCCTTTACAGCAAACTGAAGCTACTGACTGCATTACTTTTGACAGATGCCAACGATGAGTCCGTGAGAACAACACAGCGTTGAGAGTACAAGGCAAGAGAAGGACTGAGAAGTACAAAGGCCAACAGTGGCACATCTCAGCCTATGGCAGTGACTTCAGCATTCCCCAGTGAGGGGGTGGGCATGCAGGTAGCAGCAGAACAAACACAACGAGGAGTTCCTACAAAAAGCAATCAGAAGGTGTAGGACCACTCACGCCAGGGCTTCAGGATGTCAGGAGATGACTGCATCATCCCAGATGCCCCTTTTTGCTTAAACAGTGTGTCAAAACTGAAACAAAACATATTACAAAGGAACAAAGCAGCATTTTTATTTATTTATTTATTACCTTTTTGCACTCCTTTACAGTGCAAAATGTTTTGGGAACTGCAATGTTGAGATTGGAAAAACAATTCCTCCCACTCTCTCCTATCCAGGTGTATTTATTTCTGTTCAATAGATCAGAAGGCCAGCTGGGTGCTGCAAACTGCTTTTCAAGAAAGGCAAATCTGCGTTTCCAACTGTAGATCAAATATTATTCTTAAAAAGAGATCATTTATGTGTCACTTAAGATCTGATGCATGTGAGTGGAGGTGACTTTTAATAAGACTTCCAGGCAGTTCTGCAGCCAACAGGAAACAGAAATCACAGCCTATGTACGGAGGCTCCAAACTGCCCCATGGAATGAACCCGACTCCCAGCTGTTGGAGGTGGAAATCTCATTTGATGTGACTATTGCCCTTTGCACAAACTGCTGCTGTCTTTCCAGGACTTCTGGAAAGGACAGTGTTCCTCTGAGAGAGAGGGATGGGAACCTATCGTTACGTGGCTGTCCCTGTTTTGACCCTGCATGGTTCTGTGGGTTGTTTTTTTTTTTTTCAACGTTAAGTATACATACATACATTCACATATATATATATGTACAACACAACCAGCTCCCCAAAATATCCAGCACCAAGTTCACAAAACAATTTCATCCAATCCACTGCTCCTGGGTACAATTCTATATAACCTCAGCTGCAACTACAAACTCACTGCACGCCTAGCCACAAAGATGAAGGATCAAGAAGAGTGATGGAGCATTGGTGTGACTGATCCCACTCCTTCTCTTGCAAGGGTTTATGCTGATACCCGCAGATGAAGGGTTGGTGGGATTCGAGCTCCCAGTCCCCATGCTTCTTCTCAGGAACCAGAGCTTGCGTATTCATTGCACAGCCCAGCCCCAGAGCTTCTCTGAGCTCCTGCTGCTGACAGCATGCTTCCTCACTTTGTGGATGAAGGACAGACAGGCTGATGAGGCTGTGATGACTCAGACACCCTTCCAGATGCCTCCCAGCAACTTCCTACTATAGGGGATCTTACTGACAACATGCTCCTTGGTCTCCTCTTTGCTCACCAGCCCTGTCTGAGTTATTGGCTTTGCTGCTGAATGATGTGACAACACTTACTGCAGTCCTTCCCTTTGTGTCCTCAGCTAGTAACTGGAGCAGAAGTGCTAAGTGTGATCTGTCATCCAACTCCTTTTTTTAGTCCTTCCAACAAACACCTTTGCATTCCTTCATGTTGTGAACGGGATTTGGCAGAGCATATGGCATACAAATGGCAGAGCATGTAATTCCCCATTGTTTCCATTTGCACTTCACATCCACCTTCCCCTCAAGCCCCCAACAAAGCGGCAGAGAAAAAAAATCTCTGTTCTCTCACTGCTTAAAGATTTCATCCAACCCCTTACTGCAAGGCCTGGGAGTCCCCTGGTCTTCAATGCAACCTCAATGAGTGCAGGTTTGAAGCAGTACAGATAGGATGAGGCTGGAAGCTGTATCAGAGTGGCAACAGGGGAGTGACCAGCTGCAGGACCTCAGCCAATGCCTTGGTCATGATGCTGTGACCCTAACCCTAACCATTCCAGGACACGTCTCCACAAGGCTGTGCAACCACCTTCTCTTTGCTGCACGTCCCATTGACCTGCCTGCTGCTGAACCCCTTCCCCCGGTGCCCAGTGTTGCTGTAATTTGTCCCAAATTGCTTGTCCTGCCTGCAGATCCACCCTGTCCTCTTGAAACGTGGGCAGCACACAGCGCTGGGACTGGAAGGGGCTGGGGGTAGAGCACAAGTGGCGTTGAACACACACTCAGCTCCCAGCCACCAGCCCTACGATGGGGATGCCAGAGGAGTGCTGGGACATGTGGAGCCCCAGAGACACGTGGGGACCCAGCGCTTCATGTGAAGGCACCAGAGGGTTCCGGGAGTGTTGCTGAGACTGAAGGCCTTGACAGGAAGAGCCAGCAGGGGAATGGCAGGATGCACAGCACCGCTGCGCCAAGCAAGTTGAATCCCAGCACCGAAAAGCCCATCGGGAGATAATGTAAGAGCAGCAAGCGACCTCTGCCGAGGAAGGAACGGATCAGCAGCATGCTGGCAAGGTATGTAACCCAGAGCAGACCCTGGGAACAAAAGGCTCTCATATCCAGAGTTACCACGAGCCCACAGAGCACGTTTCCTATGGCACTGCTCAGTGGTGCAGACCCAGCCCTCTTGCACGCACAGTCCTGCTGGTGCCCAGCCCCTAACCCAGCCCCTAACCCAGCATCAGCACAGTGCTGGGACCCGAGCGGGATCTCCCTGCCCACACCTGCAGCGTGACCACAGCTAACCCCTCCGTCCCGCTCACAGCGCAGCATGAAGGCACCTCCAAGGATCCCCCCAGCATTGTGGCCCTCTGAACACCCCACTGCATGGCTGTGCTGCTCTCGGTCCTCTGCAGCACTCCCCATCCCCTGCTCCCCTTTGGCCTTCTCCATTTTTGACAGACAGCCACACTTGCACGGACCCAGGCAGGCGCTGCACTCTGGTCGTAACAGTGTTTAAAAGGTGCAAGCGGGAGATGGTACAGCTACAGCATCTCCTGATGTGCCACAGCCACGTCTGGGCAAAAAACACCCACTCTACAGCACTGAAATACACTATAAACACATATACACGCTGCTCCAGGAGAGCTGAGTGCAGGCTGTGGGAGCGGCTGGGATCACACGCGGAACCCTACACACACAGACACACTGCAGGCAGAGCGTGCGTCCAGCCTACAAAGGGAGCTGCACATTCGTCCCGGCTCCGGCACAGCATGTGGGGTGGCTGCAGGCAGAGGGGTGACCCTCGGGGTACCCCCAGCCCCCCACCCGTCCTTTTCCCCCATCTTGCACCCATCCGGCTCTGGCAGAAGCGCGGCGATCCTGTACACAACTTTTTCAAACTGCCAGGCAGAAGAATCCCAGTCCTTCCAAGGGAGTGTCGGTAAATCATCATTACATCCGACAACGCAACCAGAGGGATTAACCCTTTGCTCGGCCTCAGGAGAACAACAACAACAACAACAGCAACAAATTCAACGATGAAAATGACAAAAGCTGCTCCTGTCTACGTGAAAAGGAGGACAGGCAGGCTGCGGGCTGTGATTTTTTAGCTATACGTGGATACAGATAGACAGAGACCTTTGTGCGCGCGCGTGTGAGGCAAGCACATGAAGAACATGCCACCACGCACCCGTCTGCCTCTCGGAACGTGCCTCAGCCCTCCCCATAGCTCTCCCACTTTTTGGAGGACCACAATACTGCTCTCCAGGTACCGGTGCCCCCCATCCCGCGGTGCAGGGCTGGGTGGCAGCACTTCCGTCCTGCTCCTGCGTGGGGTTGGGACCCTCCCCGTGCCCACCCGGGGCAGAGGTGCTGGGGGCACTGCAGGGAGGTGGAATCGCCCTCTCCGGCATCTCGATGCGGCTGTGATTCCCCTGCCCTCCCTGCGGATCAGTCCCTGGTCTGGGAGCCCCTTCCCCTGGTGTTAAGAACTGGGGGTCCCCCTGCCATCCCAGCACTGTGCCCCCCCCCCACTCCACTCCCCACCGCCGCGCTCTCACCCCCGGCTGCACACCCCAGCCCCATTCCCACCCTCCTGCTCCGGCTCCAGCGTGGCCTCCCTGCTTCCCAGCCCATTCTCCTTTCCAGCCCAGGAGTTTTCACATCATCCCCTGGCAGAAGGAATGTCTTCCCCCACCCCAACCCCAGCCGCCCCAGCGTGCGGGGCTCCCTGCAGGCACGCTCTCCCCTCCGGAACCCTCCCGGCACCCCCGGGACCCCGTCCCCACCCAGGATGCCCTTCCCCAGCGCCGGCAGAAGCAGCACTTTGTACTCACCCCCTGCCTGCTGCTGTAGCTCTGAGTCTGGAGACCGGCTCTGATTCCGGCTCCATCACGTTTAGTGCATTGTCTCTTTCGGGCAATTTTTGCAGCAATCCATCAGAAAAAGGGGAACAGGCCGGTTTGTGGGTACATCCTTCCCGGGAGCTCAGCTCTCTGCCTCTCTAAGGGGCTCAGCCGTGTCAAAGACACCCCCTGGCCCGGACGGCTCACTCCTTCCTCCTTCTCTTCTGGGTCCTTTTGCTTACACAGATCTTTTAATCCCATTTAACTCCCTCTCGGCAGACTGCAATTACCTTGGGAAAAAGGAGAGAGAACAGAAAGTACATGCTAGGAAGCCACGCTGGCCCATGGTCGCTGGATTTCTTGCCTCTCTCTCTTTTTTTTTTTTTTCCTCCTCCTTATTAATAGCACAATTTCTGTTACTTCTTGTTTCCAAAATCCTTGATTAGTGTTATTTTTTTCTTAGCTGTAACTTTTTTTTGTTGTTGTTGTTGGTTGGGTTGGTGGTTGCGATAGTTATTTTTATTTGCAGTGCAGATGTGCCTCCCACCCCCCCAAGGATCTCTCCTCTGGACTTAGAGAGAAGAGGAAAAGACAGATTTTGAGAAATGAAAATTATTTAAGGATGTCCCCGCTGCCTCTCTCTGCTGCCCTCCTCTGTAACACCGAAGCATTTGCAGAAAGTAATACAACGTAAATAAATAATAAAAAGAAACTCTTCGGCCAGAAGAGCTGCAGAGGAGGAACCGAGGATCCTTTCCAGGCTGTGAGGAGCGAGAGAGGAAGACTCCGTGGAGAAAGGTCCCAGTGTGGGGAAGGCTGCTGATGGAGATCGCTGTGGGGCTGCAAACCCTGCGTCCAAAGCAGCTCAGACCTACAGCACTGGCACAGCTGGGCCCCACATTACAAGGTACCCAATGTGGCTTCTGCTGGTGTGGGGCTCGGGATGGGGGGGAGGATGGGAGCGCACAGAGGGGCTCAGATGTGCAGGACCCCCCACGTCCTTCCTTGCATTGCACTGCTGCCATGGGGAGGGAGGGAGGGGGACCCCTGCACCCCTGTACTCCCACCACCACGTGACAGAAACCCAGAAGGCAGGGAGGTGGGGAATGAGATCTTTTAGACAAAATCCATCAGAGCAAATCAGATCCCAAGTCACTCAGGCAGCTGTGCCACGAGAGGGGACTCAGTGCTGGCCAGCATGGGTAAAACTCACATCCTTTTGCTCCCTCCTTTTCCAACAAGCCGGGACACCCCAAGCCCTGGCTGCTATGAACAGAACACCAGGACAGAGCAAACCCTCAGCTCCGTGGGCAGCGCTGGCTCCTGCCTCCCCCCACACCCGGGCTCCCCCAGCCCTGCCTCTCACACAGCAGCTCTTCTTTGGGCACTTACTTTGCAGCGAGGAGAGAGGCTGTGCAACGTCTCCTTGCAGCCCCACCTTCATTGGCATTCATTTGTCCCAGCAGCTCACAACAACGTCTACTTCTTAAAAAAAATTATTAAAGTAATAATAATAATTAAAAAAAAAAAAAAAAAAAAAAGCAAAAGGAGCAAAACCAAACCAAAACACCTCAGGCCCTTTCCTGTTTCCTTCCCCTTCAGCCTCAGGGTTTCTCCTGCGCTGGAAGCCAGCGGGTGCCTGCCAGGCTCAGGGGTCCCCACAGAGCCTGGGTCCCCCCGAATTCAGCAGGTAATCCTTTCCCGGTGTGCACACGAGCAGGTTCCCCGCGGGTCGCTCCGCTCGAGGATCATTGATGCTGCGGGAATCCAGGAGAGGAGCTGGGTTGGGAACGGGCGCTGGGAGGGACATGGATGTGAAAGAGGTGGAAACGGTAAGGCTGCCCTCGTCCTTTTAAATAGCTGCAGCCAGGGGACTCCGCTCGCTGGCTGGGGTGCCCCAGGTATCCGGTTTCAGCAAACATCAGCTAATGAGCACAGATCCAGCCTCCGAGGGGCAGGTTCAGCGCCGCCGTACCGCACGGGAGGATGGGGGCACCGGGGCTCCCCGGCGGGGAAGGAGCTGCGGGGAGCGGGCACGGAGCTCAGCATCGCAGCTGAGTGCCTCCGAGGCTCTCCCCACGTCCCCCACAGGCGCTCGAGGAGCGGCAGAACCAAAGCCTGTCCGTCTGATTGTAGGCACCGACCTCGGGTACCCCCCCGAAATAAACAGAGCCGCCGACCCGCGTCCCTGAACCTGGAGCTGGAGAGGAACGCTCTCATGCTCACAGCACACGACTCCAGGACCCACTGGTCTGACTCAGCAAAGAGGGTTTCACTCAAAAAAGTCACCCCAGAATGCAGCCAAAAGCTATGCTTTGCCCCCATAAACCAGACCTCCTGCATACATGATGTCTTCTATTACCATGCGTGCTGAGGACTTTTCCTCTTCAATATGTGCCTTTGGCTGAGCCATGCTTGCACGCAGGGGCTGTGGTTTTGCATCTCCCAGTTTCTATAGGCACAAGATTTTATTCATACCTTTGCTCTGAAACATCTGCATTTCGCTTTCTTGCTATAATAGACAAAGCTTTAAGTAACAACAATAGAACACCAATGAGCTGAAATAAGCCATATTAGGAGTGGGGTAAATAAGCAGCATCCTCACGGCCTGCTTTCCTCCAGGGAACCTGTCCAGAAGCAAGCAGCCAAATCACACACATCCACAAACCTGCACAGAGCTCTGCACTGCAAACCCTGAGTGCTCCCCCAGCCCACCCTGAGCAGCTCTGTGACTCTGGGGACAACAGGCTCTCACAAGCTTGTCAGAAACCACATCAAATTTCTATTTTCTCAGCTATTTTTTTATCCCAGCTGTTTCTTGCATGTTTTTCAGTCATGCATTCTTTGTTCAGAAACACTTTCTAGCCAAGTCTAAGCGTTTTATTTAAAAAAACAAAAAAACAAAAAACCCAAACCTATAACTTTGCAAAGAAATGTGTAGAATCGAGAAAGAAATGCGTGCTGTTGACTACACATTGCAGCCTACTGCTCTTTCCCACCTCTTCCAAAACCAATGAGTCTCTCCAAAACCAATCATCTCTCTCACCCCTAAACGAGCCAGGCTAACCCAAGGAGATCAAGGCCCAGCTTCCCAGAGCAAGGGACAAGGAGGAAAGCAGGAAGGGTGCTACAGCTCTTTGCAAAGATGAGACCAAAAGCAATGCCAATATTGATGGATGTGCTCAACTTTGCTCAGATGAGCAGTTTCAATCCAGATGCAGAAGGGCCCTGTTGGCACACAGACATCAGCATAGCACAGCAGCTGGGATAAGGGAATGAGTTTAAAACAAAAGGAAACCCAGTTTGTTGAAGCCAAGAGTAGTGCCAAGTGGATTTGGGTCCAGAAATTAGACCTCGTTCTTCAAAAAGACAAAAGCTGCAACATATGAGCTGAAGAGAAATATATTTAGCAGATTTATTTTCCTTCCTTTCCATATTTAAATGGAAGCTGCTTTAAAATACTAAATAAACTGCAGCAAATTGGCACAGCGATGAAATTAAATAAATAAAATTAAAAAAAAAAAGTAGCAGTTCTAATTTAATTAGCCAAAATAAGAACAGTTACAGGGGGGAGGAGATGCCACCGGAACCACACGGCACTGGGAACAGAGCATTTGCTTTGGACACTGGGTATATTTAGATCAATGCCTCCTTCAGAGGTAAGGCTGTGGCGTGGCCGCAGAAGGCACAGGCAGTGTGAATGCAGGCACAGGAAGGGCTTGTGGGAGGGATCAAACAAACAGGGAGAGGGGATAAAGGGCCTTTCACGATTTAACCCGGAGCTGTTTGGGAGTGCTGGGCAGAGGGAACCCACCCTGGGGAGGTGCCGACATGGAGAAGATCTGCTCCTATTTCAGGGACGGCCGTTTAACTTCTATTTGGTGATGCAAAACCATCTCACGTTGCATTTCTTGTTCCTCACATGGAGAGCGTCAATCATGCAAGAGACACACGGAGAGCTCAGAAATCATTTGTGCAACCCATGCTCTGCCCTGCACTTTCCTCCCCCCCTCGTCCCAGCCCGTGCCATAGGCCAGCAGTGACATGTTTGAACTTCTGCAGCCGTTTGATGTAAAATGTTTTAAATTCTTTTGGGGAACACTAAAGGCTTTTGTCTCTTGACCAGTGCTGCAGGGATGCCACGTCTGGCAAAGACTGCTCTCACAGCGCTGTTCAGCTCTACCAGATCCCACTGGGCTGCCCGAGAGCTGGGAACCACTGTTAATCATTACACATTGGATCCAAGGGGAACACTACACACTGATGCAAGCCCAAGCGCACCTTCCCTAAGGAAATGCTGGCTGCTGGTCACAATTCTGCCTTGCATTTCCCTAAAGAACTGCAGCTTTACAGGATGGCTGAAAGCTGCTACAGATGAATGGCGGCCATCCATTAAGCCACAGCAGAGCAGAGCACTGCGTGCTTTAGGTACGAAGGTATTACATCTCCTAAACCTTGACCGCCAACATCAAGGTGGGCAAAAGCAATCTGGTTATGGTAATGTCCCTTTCTATTTCCCTCAGTTGTCCATCTGTTCCTATGCTGAATTTGAGTGCTGTTTTAGGGATGATTCAGTAGCCAGTGCTGCTGGAAAATACAAAAGTGAGCAGCACTCAGCAGCTGTGAGCAGCATCCCCAGGTCTGAGCACCAGCCCAGGCTGTTCTACTGTTTTTGCCATTGGGAGGTGATCCAATACTACATTTTCTTCACAGATAACCGAGGCCTTTTTCTCTCTATCCCTGCAAAAAAAAAAAGAACCTAAAACCCAACCCACCATCCAAACCAATGCTGGGTTGCTGCACGTGGAGCAGTAATTCTTCCACAGTTGGAAGGTTTGCTCGTTAAGCGCCGCAATGCATCAGCAAGCACTGATGTTCTGCCCAGCGCTGCACCAGAGGACCCTGCTGGGGCGGTGGGGGTGGGCACGCGCTGAACTGGGCAGGATGGGTGATGCAATCATTCTCTAAAGGAACAGAACATTTTTTCTTCATGAAACAGAACCACCCTGAGAGCACCTTCTCGTGCAGCAAGGACGGACATGAGCCCAGAGCTTCAAAGAACCTGCTGAGCTGCATTGCTTCCTGCACATGAAGGATGGCTGTGGCTACAACAGCACGTTGCTGAGACAGGGAATGTCAACCAAAAGCTTGGGTTGGATTCTCAGTAATTTCAACAGGGAGGGGAAAGGAAGAGGGGCTTACATAAAGAAGGGGCTTAAACAAAGAAACCAACATTCTGGTGCGACACGGTGCTTAAGAGCAATGATATTTAAAACAGAACGATAATAAACGTGGTTTGGTTTTGTTTGTTACTGACAAGTTGAACATGATGCCTCTTTGGGGTTTGGTTTGATGCTGGAAGCGTGCAAGGAAAGGGTAGGTGTGGTACTGAGGGATGTGGTGTATGGGCAGTAGTGGTGGCAGGTGGATGGATGGACTGGATGATCTTAGAGGCCTTTTCCAACCTTAAATGATTCTATGAAAGGAACCATTTTAGCTGAGACAAGGAGACACCTCCTGACGCTCACACACACACGTTACGTTAAGGAAATCTTGCACTCCACTACATTATGAAGCACCAGCACCAAAACAACTGCAGTGTGATTTGTGTACAGAGTAACTTCAAGACACAAATCAACCAGAACAAGCAATTGCTTAACTTCATCTTGATAGGACGGGGGGAAATGGTTTCAAGCTAGAAGCGGGGAGGTTTAGTTTGTAGAAGACTTCTTCCTTATACCCATCAGGGCAGTGAGGCACTGGCACAGATTGCTCAGAGAGACTGGTGAACATCCCATCCCTGCAGACATCCAAGGTCTGAGCTGGATGGGGCTCTGAGCACTGATGGAGATGTGGCTGTCCCTGTCTACTGCAGGGACCCGGACCAGATGGCTTTCAAGGGACCATGCAACTCAAACAATTCTATGATCTAAGCTAAAACACGCTGCAGTGGCACTGCTTCCTTCACTGTACTCAGCTGTCTCCGCAGCCACATACTCACTGCAGCGTTCTGCTGCCTCCAATGCAGAGTGCTGCGGGTGGCTGAGCAGGCACCTCGCTCCCTGGCAGCTGCTTGGCCTGGGGGTGACAGCCTGGATGGAGCCATGGCCATTGCAGGGCAGCTAAGCCAGATCCCAGCAGAACTCATGTTTGGTTTGCATGATCCTGGTGATCTGCAGGCTGACCTGAAGCAACAGATGCCACTGCTTTTGTGCTGTTACTTTTCTTGCCTCTAGAGCGGAGCTCATGGTATAGATCATTTTATGTGCAATGGTATTTAAGGCCATTGGATGCAAAGCACTGCCAGTAAACTGGTACTACGTTGCTCTGAAGTTGGCAGCAGGCTCTCCTGCAGGAAGGAGTGTAAATCTATTTCCCAACCAGCTTTTACATCCACCACAACCTGCCACTGTGCAGACACACAGCTCATTAGGGATTGTTTAGCTTCATCTGGCTGAAAAAGGGCCACAGGAAAAAACCTGCTGATTAAACATGCAATTCAAATACATCTTCTGGAGCACAGCAGACAATTCCTAGCACTTTATCTGCACCGACTGAAACGCAATCTGTGCCACTTAGAACAGAACAATACTCGATTTCCCGATACTCCTCTTGAATTGTTAACACACAAAGCAGAAACACAGCCTGTTTTCACAGAGAAATTCTGACATACGACGTTAACTGAGTGTGTACAGATCTGCTTCAAAGCTAATAGGCTCCTTTCCTTCCAGCAAACACACTTCTTCACGTCTGCACGCTCTTGCTCTCTCCCCACTTCAATAATGATAGCATATGGTAAAGCTCTCCAAACTGGAGCCGCTGCAGAAAGGCTGTATTTACTTATGTTTGAGTAAGAACTAATAAGAAACCTGGTTGTGTCTCAGCTCCTCCAATTCCAAAAGGAAAAAAAAAAAAACCATCGAGTCAATATTTATTCACCCATAATGTGGTGAAATAAATCCCCTCCTCCCTGGAGGAGAGGAAAATAAAATGTAGTGATTGAAATGGGTTTCATGGAAGGGGATTTTTGTTTGTTCGCTTGTTGGTTGTCAGAACTTGAGAGTTTTCTCCCTCTCCCCATTGTGATTTGAATGGAATAGGAGTGAATGAAAGGCATCATAGCAGCTTCACGGTGGGATCTGCTATTGAGGACCTGAAACTCAGGAGCCTTTGTGCGCTTCCACTGATGGGTGCAGCACTTGTGTGCTCCATATCACTCCTTTGTCCCCTTATAGGGGGGATAATAGAGGCATCAGGTGCTCCAATCCCATTGGTGTGTCTGCTGAAGGTAGTTGGTCTTCCAGCAGCGCCTGGGCCAAATGCCGCAGGTCTTTAAAGCACAGAGACTGGAGCAGCTGTTGTAGCGCAGTGTTATCAACCTTGCCAACGCTGCTTAAGAGCATAAAAACTGCCCAACTCATTCTTTGTCAAATGTAAGTGGTCAGAGTGCCATGACTGCAAGTCATGTGGGGGAACTGGGAGCAGATTTGCGTCTACCTTCAAACAGAAACACACACACAAATACTGAAAACACTCATTAACTCCCTCTCCATGCCCTAATAAGAAAATACATGTCATGGAGGAGTGGATGTCAGTAAAGTCACTTGGACTGCACATTTCAAAGCACATCATGGAGACAAACACAGTGAGTTCTTGGTAAATTGTCTCCATCCAAGTAGGGCAACTTCTGCCACTTCCTACAGGCAAATGGATGGGGGTTGCATGAGCAGCTTCAGACACAGCACAGCATTCCCACTGCAATACAGCAGCAACAAATTTCAGCTGCAATCTATGTCAGCACAGTGGCACAGAGAATTTGACTCTTAAATACTTGAGAAGCACAGCCAAAGGGGCAGGTCCTCGTTCACACAGCAGCATCACATAGAGGGGCTGTTGTACAGACCCAGCTGAGGCATTTTTAAGCCTGTTTCCCATTTCCCCAAAGTCTCTGGCACTGAAGAAGTCTTGTCACTGACCTGGGTTAGATGGGGGTCAAGGTTTACACTCCAAAAACCAAGAAAGAAACACTGTTTACTCTCCAGTTCCTCAGAAAACAGTCAAATCCCTCTTCATATGGAACATCTCATTCGCGTGTCATCAGCAAACATTTCCACTGGCAAACTCACTGTGCTTCAACATTTTCTTCACACACAGACCAACTGTGTGCTTTATCAGTGCCATCTCGCTCCACGGGCAGCCAGACACCTGCCTTTCTCCTCCTGCATTGCTTTTCTCTGCCATTTCTTTATTATGAGCTCACATTAAACGACTGTTAACGTGAGGGGTGAATCCCCTTCCTTGAAGCACTCAAGGCCAGGCTGGATGGGGCTGTGAGCAACCTGGTCTGCTGGGAGGTGTCCCTGCCTATAGCAGGGGTTGGAACTACATGATCCTAAAGGTCCTTTCCAACCCAAACAATTCTATGATTTCTTGTTTAGATTTAAAAGGGCAGCTTTTAAATGCTCTTCTCCAAACGACACTGTTGATTAAAACTCTTCTCCCACTAAATCCCACATTTAGCTCATGAGCTGCACCAAAATGGACTGCAAGACTTTTCATTAATCAGCAAAATGGAATACGTGAGACTACTTAGCATTTTACATCTCCAAAGCCCTGAATAAGCACCAAGGCTCAGTGAGTGACATTGGGAAGGGAAAAGCACAGTGCTCAGCAGGGCTGGCACACATGTGAAGGCCCTAATGCTATGGGGTGAGTGCAGCCCTGGGCACCCACTGATGTGGGCAGCATGGTTCCCACCTCAGAGCAACAAGCACAGGGCCCCGAGCCAGCCCTCCCCATCAAATGTGCAATGAATAGGGAGGTAGTGCAAGAAAACGCTTTGATGCACCCAGCACACCTTTCATCATCGCATCCTAAAAGCACTTGGCGATTATTCACATGAGCCCTAACTCATCACCACCCACATGGTTTTCCTTAATTCCCCAGCTGGATGTACAGAGAACCCTGGGGTACTTAAAGGTACCACTCTGAAAGAGAAGAACATGGGGCTCCTCCGCTGAGCCACGACCACATGGAGCTTCCCCCCCCACACACACTCTGCATTCAGCAACACTGCAAACTGCACCCCTGTCCTACACACGGTCAGCAAAGGGAACTCACAGAGAAAATAAAGTTTCTCTCTTCATCTTGAACTATTTTTAATTTTTTTTCCTGACATGCCATTATTAGACAACAGGAACAAACTAGTTTCTGTGCGAAACTTTCCCTGAAGTATTTGGAAGATAGAGAGAAATGGCAAGCTTTCTATTTTCCTTCTTCTTTAAAGGAGAAATAGCACTGAATTAATATAAACAGCACTGATCAGCATTTCATTTTCTAGCTATGACTTAATTTTTTTTTAGCCCTACAAAGACCACCCTCTCCCCATAGCAATGCTAGGAGGGGACTATGCTGAAAATTATAGTTTCCAGAGTTTGCAAGAGAACCACAAACGCTTAATTATAGTTATTGACATAGCAAACACCCACTGCAGGCTTAATCTTCTCTTGGCCAGAAATAACCACACCAAGTGAAGGTAGCAAACCAACATCAGCCCCAGCCAAGGACAGCTCAGTAGTGCACAGGCATGAGGACGTGCCTTGCTCCTGCACAGCACCAGGGAGCCAGCGCACCAGCAGCACTGACCTGGCATGTTTAGGCTGGGTTTGGTGTGAGCTGGGTTGCTCCTTAGGTGTTTCGTATGCCTTTCTCCCAGTTAAGTCTTGAAGAGCTCATCTATGTGCTGAGAGCAGTAGCTGTGCTCTGCACCATCAATGCTCCGCACATCCTTGCTGTGAGCATCCCATTCTCATTGGGTGCTGGTGACAATCGTCTGGAATGGAGGCAACTCTCAGCTTTGCAGTTGGAGGTGTGACAGTGGGAATGGGCAGATGTGGGCACTGCTCAGCCCCAGGCCCATTTGCTCACTGGCTGTGCTGGCAAACCTTGAAGGAGCAGTGCTGGTGGGCAGCTCGCTGCCCTCTGGGCAGACTTCACGCCCCCAACGGCTGCAGTCACATCAAAGCTCGTATGCCTAAAGCGATGCTAAAAGGGTTAGAGAAGGTGAAGCATCAGTTGTTTTTTCCCAGGGAGCCGCAGGAGGCTGCTGAGTGTTGATGGAGCATCACCACGTGGCACTGGCCAGGCATGCAGCTAACAGAGCCCCACAGACCAACAAGACGGCCTTGGAGAGGAGCATGAATAAGATGGGAGATGAGGTGCAAGCCTTGCAAGGATCTGACCATTGTCACAAACAGCTGGGGTGATAAAGCACTGAGCTACCAGAAATGAACCATGGTGCACCAACGTGGGAAGTCCCCATCTTTCTCCCAGCAAACCGTGAGATGCTGGGGGATGGGAGAGGGCAAAGCAGCCCAGGTGGCACAGAGGCCCTGAAAACCCATCACTGAGGTCACGTAGCTGCATTTGTGCAGCACTGCCCCTTCCACACAACAACAGGCTGCACCACAAAGCCCTCATTTAGACCAGAGTGGGAGCAGTCATGTAAAAACATTAAAAAAAAAAAATTGCAGCACAACCTTTAGAACCCATGGAAGTAAACAGCTGGTGGTGGGAGCTTCACACCCATGCTTTGCACCTGCCCAGGGTATGCGTGGCACCAACCCTGCGTGCGTGGCTGCTGCTGAGCTTGGTTCTCTCCATTACAAAAGGGATCATAGAAACCTTTTTCAGTCTGGAGGAGAGAAAGAGAATGGGATAACAGCTAAA